ACGTTCTATAGAACAGGCGTTTATCACTGCTACGTTCTATAGAACAGGCGTCTATCACTGCTACGTTCTATAGAACAGGCGTCTATCACTGCTACGTTCTATAGAACAGGCGTCTATCACTGCTACGTTCTATAGAACAGGCGTCGATCACTGCTACGTTCTATAGAACAAGCGTCTATCACTGCTACGTTCTATAGAACAGTGATTCGCGCTGTGTATTTAAGTTTTCTCTTACCATTCTCACGATACCATCCCCGTAGCCACTACTCGATGAGGAGTACCAGTATATGTTGTAGTAACACGTTCTCTCTGAAAGCAAAAGCAATAACGCCACCTTTAAACAAAAATCCCCAAAAAGTTACCACGCCCCCCGATGCAGCACTACACAGCTGCAAAGCATTTTAATAATATTCAATTATTCCATTGCTGCTTGCTAGCACAATTACCGTTAATATCACATATCAAAATCCACAAGGAGCCCACTGCAAGAACACAACAAACAATATACGTAAAGCAACTTACCTAAAAAAAACTTTAATTTCACGTGCATCTATTCACTGATATTTGCCTGCATGCCACGCGAAACCGAATTGACCTGCTAACCGTTATAATCGGCATTAGTGTCGCGGCTGGCTAGCCTCGTGAAGTGTGTAAGTGCGTCTATCTCACCATCTACGAACTCAGGCCGCGTATTTTATTGCTCAGAATTAATTACTCTGGAATAGCTCTACACAGCCGTCGATAAAAATATAACGATGATGTATACAGCGTTAGCTTTGTGTGATTTCTACGCCGCGCTATATGTGTTCTTTTTAAGACCCTCTCATTAGTTTGTGTTGTAAATTGAAGAGTAATCTGCACAGTAAATGTTTGTATTCTCACACTATATTCATCTCATGGAGATTTTTGTATGAGTTTCACGCGTACAGCCATAAAGTTTTACTGCATTGCTATAACGACAATGACATTTAGAGAGCAAACAGACGTGAATGCAATTATGCACACCTTCATCGCGTAATCTTTCTAAACGTTTACATTTATTTCAGTTATTATTGCGAAGAATTGACTCAGTTCCGTCGCATTCATCGTTACATGAATGCATCAGTATACGTCCGGCTTTCCGCCAATTATCAGATATATTCGTGCGAAATACGGACATATTCTACATGGATTCCACGATAGCACAATTAACACATTGTGCGCGCGTGTACGAAAAGATTTTCTCCTTTCTCATAAAATTGCAATGCTGACATGTAAAAGCGCACGCGCGCATTTCATCTATTAACCCTAACCCTAACCCTTACCCTAACCCTAACCCTAACCCTAACCCTTACCCTAACCCTAACCCTTACCTGGAGGCGGGATCCAATTGACGTCAACGCCCACAGACGCGCCGCGCACTCTCATGTTGGCGAAGGTGATGTTGGAAGGCGGCTGGGGTAGCGCTCCGACTGCAATGATACATCATTAGATAACAGCATACTGCTCATTAGTTTCGAGACTGTTCATATCTCACTCTCACGACGCTTTGCGGCGACGACGTCGCGCCTTAACGACGACATTATTTTTTCAACTCAATTTTGAAGAGTCGCGACGTATTGCTGTCACGACAACCAGACACGCAGAAACGAAGCTAATACATCACCGCACCGGTACGCTTATAATGGCATAGATGTTCCTGAGTGCCACGGAGCTTTTTAACTGCGCCCTGCATTGAATGGTGGCCAATGCAGCGCAACGTCGTAGGAGGAAGTGTGTAGGTGATAAATCGCTATATATGAACTCCTTTCATGAACAATTCACTATATGAATCCGCACGCACCGTACCAGACCCTATCGCGTAGCACAGAGATACTTAAACACGCACACACACAAACGCACATACACAAACGCACGCACAAACACACACACACTCACGCACGCACACACACACATACATACGCGCACACACGCACGCACATGCGCGCGCACACACGCACACGCACGCGCACACACACCAACGCGCAACATGCTATCAAACCTACTACGAGCAATTGTTCAATTCATAGTTAGTAGAAGGAGTCTGCCTCTACTAACTATGTTCAATTGCAATGGTTAACATATTCAAACTCATGACCAGCCGTATTTTAATACCTGGAAGCGTTTTGATCCACTCGGATACTTGTGGCTCTGCAGCAACACCGTCCGGCAGCACGGCCGTCACCCTGATCTGATATTCACTCGAGGGACGCAGTTTGTAGATGGGAATAAAGAAGTGAAGCGTCTGCGTGCGAAGATCAATGACAGGTGAATGAAAGACGCGAAGATCAATGACAGATGAATGAAAGACGCGAAGATCAAAATCAATGACAGATGAATGAAATGACGCGAAAATCAATGAAAGATGAATGAAATGACGCGAAGATCAATGACCGATAAATGAAACAACGCGAAGATCAATTCGCCTTAGATTTACTCTATCAACACACGCGATGAGATCCACGCAATATTAGAACGCAAGCTCATCTCATGCGCAGAAGACGCCTATATGGGTAGTGAGGAATAGCATGACTCGCTACTGCTATGTCTTCTCATAAGAACAATAACTCAATAAAAGAATACGTTTATTACAACTAATTACCAACTCAAAACACACGGCATTACAGCCAGCGAGACGCAGCAGCTTGGCTTTTGAACGATGACATTTTCATAGTAAAAATCCCGAAGCATTTGTAGCGCGGCGCATCAAAACGTTATTATAATAATGATTAAAATACGTGCGTATGTATCTTCATTATACAGAGTAACTGGACCCTATTTAGTTTTTTCGATTAAGTAACAAAAACAACTTTAACTTGCACTACAT